CAGAGCGAGAGAGCGGTGTAGCTGGCGACCTGAGTAGAGAACAAGGACTGCTGCAGTGATGCTTTTAAAAGAATCTCGACATTTTGACCGTAGCATGGGCAAAAAAGCCAGTGGGAGGGGCAATTCTTACTCTGGTTTTGGGTATGAGTCAGTAAAATACATACAGTTGAACCACAACACAATAATTATGGGCCATAAAATCAAAACAATGAGCTGAAAGTTGTTATCTTGCACTGTAGAGATGAGAGGAACTGCTGAGTTGTTTTTGAAAAGATAATCAAGATTCAAGCACATAAGGAGCAGAACCCTGTTTTTGTGTCAGTTATTATTATTATCATTATGTAATAAGATATCAACAAGTTTTTTACAACTTTCGATAAGCTTGTTGTAGTGATGGCACCTGAGTTTTAGGTTGTCTATGTAGTGTTCGTCTTACATTCATTGGGGTTAATGTTTTACACAATGTCAATTTTTACCACTGAAAATGTCTGAGCTTTACCCAGAACTAGAGGAAAAATGTAAGAGATGTTTAAACCCACAGGTTTGGCATATGTCCAATGATTCAGCTAAATTCAAAGGACACATCCATGTAGGGTTTTTGAACACGTAATGTTCAATGTTGGAGTTACCGACCAAAACACTTTCTCTTGTGTTCACCGTTTTATATCTTCACCTACACAATTTTTATGTTGTGTGCTACAGTACCACTTTTGAAATGTAAGACTAATAAAAACATTTTTAAAAATTACATTTAAAGTGGCAGACTTCCTGTTGGGTTTAAGGTGTAACTCCAAAAGGTTTTTTTTTGTAGATCTGAGTATGATACACATCCTACCCAGTTTTTATACTTCTAGTTGAAAGCATGAGGGCTACTTCATTGAAAATTTCTAGGGGGTGCCCTCATAGTGACACCCATGCCTGACACCCATTTCAGATATCAAGTTATATTACTTCTGATGCATGTGCAAAGTTTTGTGAATTTTCATGCACCCTTAGCCCATCAATGCTAAAAGTAATTAGGGGGAGCTGTAGAGCCGATGTGCCACGCCCATGCCCAAGTGCGATATCAAATTGAAATAGTTACTAGATCGAACATGAATCGAGTTTTTGCGCATCCTAAAGACCTCCAAATGTGTTACGAAAATTTATGCACAAAATCCGATATGGCTTATTCACTGTCTGGCTGATTTTTTTTTTTAATTTGTATTATGTCCAGAATGATGATCCTATTGAATTTAATGTACATACAAGCAACTTTATCCCGACATGGTCCTGTGTATGGAGGCTTTGTATTTTTTGCCAGTTCTGACTTGTGTGCCAGTTTTCGAGCATCCCAAGCCCCTCACTCAAAAATGAATTTCTCCAGCAGAATAATAAAAACAATCTCTACAAAAACTATTCAGTTCAGCTGAGTGAGCCTAGAATAAAGCCATGCAGCAACAAGCAGGTTTCAGCAAAGTCGCTTCAGCTGGTTTAATCCTGAGAGACCAATCACACACTTGTTTCATCATTACAAAGCCTGGGAGTCAGATTGACTTGAGTCCAGCTCAATGTGCTCTTCGAAATAAAAGCCTTGTGCACCATAACAGTCTGCCACGATGGATTTTTGAATTTCTTGAAAAACTTTTTTTTTTTTCCTTCTGAACTGTATGTCCAATTGCAACAGAATTTTCTGTAGATAATCATTTTACCAAGGTCATCAAAACTTTAACAAAGCTTCTTGATATCTCATTTATTTTTCAAGATATTGACCAATAAACTTGACAACTTCGCTTAGCAGGAATTTGGCCACAACTCATTAACCAATTTTTGTCCAATCATCATAAATCTTGGTAGATATTTTCAGTCCATATTTGGGAATGGGCCTACCACAGCATTTTCTTCGCTTTTCGGCGCCATAAATACCAAAACCATCTACCAAATTATTAACCAAAATCTGAAGTGACATATTAGTGCACGTGCATATTCATCATTGTCTGCCATATTATGCCTTTGGCCTAGAGACATGAAACTTGGTACCATAACTGGAAATGATGTGCTAATTCCTCTAATAAAATATTATTACATTTGGCTTCATGGTGGCGCTATAATTAACAGTCAAACAGTCAAAAAAATTAAAAATGAAAGGCCTGTCCCCCTTACACTGAGTCCTATTGACTTAAAATTTGACTCACATCTACATCTCAATTAACTTTACAAAAAAGCATCTTAGACCATAAAAGTTGTATCTTTAGTTTTCAAGATATTGACCACAGGAGGTGGGGCTTAGCAGGAAAATGGAAAAAGTTTGTCCAATCCTTATAAATCCTGGTACATATCTTCAGGCTGTGTTTGAGAATAGTTCAATCGATTAATTCTGAGCCCGACCCATAGGGGGCACCACCAAGAAAAAAACCGTGCATCTCAAAATGCAGTGGACAGGGGTGTGGCCTGACATATATTTGCTCATAACTCAAGATGACTTTGAGAAATCCAGAATAAACTTTCCTTTACATACACACTGAGTTTCATTCACATGTGATAAAGGGGGAAAAATGGCGGAACAATTACTGAAGTGCTGTAGGCTTTGTGATGCTGAAACAACTCCTTCTTTAAACAGAGTTAAACCATCTGATGTCAAGCCTGAAATCTGCTCGTTCCTGCTCCAGAATCATCGCTTGTGGTGATATGTGTTTTTCCATTTGCCAGTTGATAGTGAAGAAAGAAACAGGAAACGTGGGCTTGTCCACTGTAAAAATACTGATTAGTGCAGCCTTAGGATTTGGCACCACCAACTGCTGTAAGTGCTAGCTCCACAGATCTGCTGGATCGAACAGTCTTCAACAGACTACTCAAAGAATCATATTATCTCTCGGAAATACAAAGATCACATTATGGTCTCGATAACTAATTTCAGTTTTTATGCTTGTGTTAGATTTGAGTTAGTCATCCATTTTTCAACCATTCATGCAAGAAAACACGCAATCAGGACTTCTGCTCTGTTTGAGTGTGTTGGTTTACATTTGTTGTAGCTGACATGACACCCTCAACACCAGATTAAACTCACATGTTTACAACATGATTTCCCTCCCAGAACTAAACACACTTTGTCTGTAACTGTCTGTAACTCTTTAATTTGTGTGACACAGTAATTATATACAGGAGGTTAAAAACTTTTCTAGTGTTGGAGGGGGAAGCAACAGTTTATCTGTGAAATTGTTGCAAAATCATATTTCACATTATACACAGTAATGTGATCCATGCATTTTAAAAATGACAGGGTATGCATCTCGGACGGCACTCGAATGCAATGCCATTTGAAAAACAGGTTTGAATTCACATTATTTTCAAGGCATTTTCCTCCCCTCTGTACAGTGAACAGCACTGTCCCTCCATAACTGAAGATGTCACTGTAGAGATACAGACTTGTTCTATTCCAGACAGACCAGTTCAGTAAAGCTGGAGTAAAGGTACATTCAGCCACACAGAACAACACCAGTAAAAAAAGCCTTTAGTACACACCCTCACATCCTGTTTCTAGTCCGAACTGCAGCAACCCAGGCTTTTCTGATTATCATCCTCTCTCTCACTTGCTCTCCCTGACTTTTCTCTCTCTCACTCTCTCTCTCTCTCTCTCTCTCTCTCTCTCTCTGTCTCTCTCTCTCTCTCTCTCTCTCACTCGCTAACGGAATTAAAGTAAAAAATAACTTAAAAAGAAAACAGTGATGACCCTGCTGGGACACAGTAGTTTTTCAATGCTTTTAACTTCAATAGTCACAATTGGCATTGAACAACAAGTGCATCACAGCCAGGTTCATTACTTTTCAGTGTCCCCTGGAAACACTTCTGTTATGTTGTGAGTATCTGCAGCTCATGTATTGTCAAACTGATGAAGATGTTTTCTTTAGTTCTTTGTGTTTTGTCTGTTTGCATGTGTTTTCTTAAGATGCAGTGCGGGTGTGCTCTCAGGGCCACAGTACGTTTCCCTTCTGATGGCCACTATGTTAAAATCCAAGGGTTGAATTTCAAATCAGATAACGTTCATTTTACAAGAGAATTTATATTGATAAAAAGAGATTCAAAAGGACAATTCCAGATCAGCTTTTGAAAATCCAGACACGAATCACAGCGTTCATTCACTGATGCACATATCAGTTCTTACTTCATAAAACTCATTTCTGATTTCTCAGTGAAAAACTAGAAGCTAAAAACAGTTTTTAAGGTAACTGCCTTAAATCTTTATATATTACATATAAATTACAATTAGAGAAAGTGAAGCTATGACACACATCTGTCTTATTTTCCTCTAAAAACATAATTTTCCTTAGGTTTTTTATTGGACCTTCTGCCATTTGAACTGTTATATCGATAACTAATGTGTATTTTATGGAAAGGAGAGCTGAACAATCGGCCAATGAACTGATTAGTCCATCAGCAAAACTACAATCGGAAGCTATTTTGAGAATTGATCATTTATTTGTGTCAGGCAGAAAATTCCTTGTTCTAGTTTCTAATTGTAAAAGATTTGCTGCTTTAAGTCCCGTATGACGGTAAACTGAACATGCTTGGGTTGAAAACAAACAAAAAGAATTTGATGACATCATTTGTTGTTTTTAGGCATTTGTCACTACTTTCATACAAAATGTCACAGACCAAATTATTTATTGACCAATGGAGAAAATAATCAGATTCACTGATTGTTTGCTGCAGCATTAACAGTGTGTTTCAGGGGAAAATAAGCTGGACATTTACTTCACAGTGTTGTCCTCTGTGTTGTGTTAACATAATGAATGAATTATTAAAAGGCAGCTTGTGGTTTAAGATGAGAATCACAAACAATGCATCTCTGTTTATTATGTGACATCTACATGGATTTTCATTGCTTCTGCTGTGACACAAATTTCCAGACTGCTATTACACAGGCAATAATAACACCTGTGAATAACCTTGACCAGCTGAATCCCCCAGTTGTAAATGCAAAAGAAGTAATACCTCTACACAGACGGATAACAAGAACCTACCTATTTGTCAGTGGGCCTATAAAGGGGTTGGTGAGGAGCTGTACAGTGGCCTTGGATGCAAACAGCATTCCCACTTTGACGTTCTCGTTGAGCAGTTTGCTTGTGGACTGGGGGCAGTCAGAGGAGTTCTGTGGCAGTTCCGCAGCAGCAGGGGTGGTAGGGACCAGATCAGTAGATCTGGCTGTGGCGTTGGAGCCTGACAACCTCACAGTGTTGTCATATAGGGACACAATGCTGTGGAAGGCTCGTGGAGAATCCTGCTGCATCAGGCTGTTGTTCTTCAACACCACATCTGCCGTCTCATCCAGATTGTACAGGTAGCTGGGGATGATGGGAACTAGCGGACATAAAGAGGTGAGAGGAGACTGTAATGAAACATGACATGACTTCTGACTGATGCTCAGTGACATGATGCTAATCCAGATATCACTGCAACATATGTCAGAAAAGAACAAGCTGGATTGTTCAAGGGTGATTCACTGGCACTACCCAGAAGAAAAGCCTCTTTCTCACAGCCTGTTGCATTTATATGTGCATTTATTGTTAATAGTTAAAATTGTTGATAGCACTGAAACAAATTATGAGTGGTTGTAGTACAAGTACAAGTTTTTATTTACCTATAAAAAATATGAAGGCAAGGGGATACTGCATGACACATAGGTGTCAGTCTACAGCAGCATGAGGAAGGGATGATGACATCATCACAAAGGCAGAATCAGAAAATAAAGTTTATTGCCAGGTAAGTGTTTTCTTACAAGATATTTTGCTTGGTGTTTGGTGCAGTAGCCAATAAACATATTAACAGGAAATAACAATAAAAAGGTCAAATACTGCAACAGTCAAAAAGATAAATAAACATAGATACACATATTAAAAAAATAAAACTATGAAAAAAAACTATAAAAAACTATATACAAAAGTGTTGACAAAACTCCTGCTGAGCAGGATGTGCAAAAGATCACAGTATAGACAATATGTGTTCTGTGCAGGGATAATACTCCAAGGTGTTACTGTAATGTGGTTGTTGACGGTTGATGAGGCCAGACACAGAAGAAAAAGCAGGTGCTGGTCCATCACTGGGGAGGACTGGACTGGAATTCTGGTCCTGATACAGACAAACATGTTATTGGACAATTAGTTTAGATCATACAAGTTCTTTATATTCAAACATGTTAGGTCTGCTGTGTGTGTATAATAAATAGTAAGGATAGATATGAATATGCTCAAATTAATACAGTATTAGGCAGTGGATCCTGAACCTGCTGGTTCTGGATCAAACAGTCTATTTGTCTTACTTTTAAGAAAAGTTACTGATGCATCTAGCTGGATAAATTCTACTACATCACTTAAATGTTTGTCAACATCATCAATCATACATTTATGCCACCTGAAATGTTTGTCATTTGCACTAATGATACTTTTCGCTACAGACCAACATTAGATGTTACTCACCACTCTAAAAGAAAAGATGCAGCTCCGCATCAAACCGCATCTTCTTACTTGCCCGGAGCTGTCTCCAGCAATGGGAAGCCACACCTGGATTTACTCATGTTTTCTTCTTTTCTTTGCCGTTGAACGTGGTTTCTTGTCGGAGTGCTCCTTCGGGATGGAGATAAATATCGCTTTCTGGGAGAGTCAGCCATCTCTGCGTTTCTACGATGCTAGTAGGTGCTAGTTTGCTAGTTTTTTTTTTTTTTTTTTTTTTTCGGAAGCTGTGGTGTAACTTCAAGCTCTGGAGGAAGCTCTTCTTCTTCGTGGGACTGAGGGCAGACTAGATGCTACACTGACTCACACAGCATCTAGTGCCATAAGGTGGTATTACAACACGGTGCGGGACACAGCTAGTTGGTTAGCATGCTCATTTCAGTAGATATCTGTAAAATACAATAGATTGAGGTCTTGGAGGACATTATCACTGTCGCTCCTACAATTACTTTGTTAGGTTTAGGCTCTAGACTACTTGTTAAGGTTTAGGCACTAGAGCTACTCTGTTAGATTTCAGCACAAGACCTACTTGGTTAGGTTTAGGCACTAAAACTAGTTGGTTAGGTTTAAGCACTGAACTACTTGGTTAGGTTTAGACACTAGAACTACATGGTTAGGTTTAGTCACTAGAACTACTTGGTTAAGTTTAGGCACTAAAACTACTTGTTCAAGTTTAGGCACTTAAGTACTTCATTAGGTGCAGGCACTAAAGTACTTGGTTAGGTTTAGACAGTAGAAGTACTTGGTTAGGTTTAGGCACTAAAACTACTTGGTTCGGTTTGGCACTAGAACTACCTGTTTAGTTTTAGGTACTAAAACTATTTGGTTAGGTTTAGGCACAAGAACTACTTGTTTAGGTTCAGGCAACAGAGCTACCCTGTTAGATTTCAGCACTAGAACTACTTGGTTAGGTTTAGGTACTAACCTACTTGGTGAGGTTAAGGCACTAGACTACTTGATTTGGTTTAGGCACTAGAACTACTTGGTTAAATTTATGCATTAGAACTACTTGCTCAGGTTTACGCACTAAAGTACTTGGTTAGGTTTAGGCATTAGATCTATCTGGTTAGGTTTAAGCACTACAGTACTTGTTCTGGTTTAGGGACTAAAGTACTTGGTTAGGTTTAGGCACAAGAACTACTTGGTTACATTTAGGCACTACTTGGTTTTTTAGGCACTAGAACTAATCAGCTAGCTAATATGTTCTTCCTCAACATTGGACGATCTTTACTGTCACGATTACAATAATGACAACGTGGTTAACTTTGTCAAACAGTCATGGATAATAGAAACAACATAAACAGTTAATTTCACATGGGAATCGAACACCACTCTCCTGTCATATTCATCCATCCACCACAACCTCCTACTGATGTGGACTTTGTCTCTCTTTATACTACTTCACCACACTTTTCCCTTTGCTCCTGTCATCATCACTACAACTACTAGATGTTGCCTAGCAACAAAACATAACTATGGGTCATAATAACCTGCTGCACAGACAACCTATGTGCTCATTTTTTTACAGGAGGACAGTCTCAAGGGATGACAGTATCAGTATAACACATTACTAAGCTCCATAGAGTTCATGGTCAGCAGGAAGGCAGTAATATTCAAATAACTAATGTAGACTCATATCATACATGGTATTTTAAGTATGGTCAACATTTTGGCACTGCCAAAATAATATTATTGTAGTATTAGACATGATATATGATCTAAGACTTTGCAGTGATGTGGGTAAGTTTTTTAAGACTGAAAACCAACCAAATCCATTTTCTTTCTGCTGATTAGCTTCAACACTTCATCAGTAGAGAAAAAGAGAAAGATACAGAGGCTGCCCGCCAGCCGAGGCTGCACGTCTATGAATAACAGAGCAGTGACGTAGTGAGATGGTCTCATTCATTAACACTTCTGACACTAGAAAACTAACCATTCATTGTTTATGTTACAATTTTATCAATTCTATTAATTTAGCCATTAATAATGATAAATATAAAGAAAAAAATAGAAAAAAAACAGGAAAGCCCTTAAAACCGTTAAACAGAGACAAGCCACTGAAAGTCCAACAAATCCTTCAACTTCAGCAACCATATAGATCACTTGTCCCAACCCTTGGATATGACCAATGGGAGCGTACCAGTGACAGGTATGCTGGACCTTCATTATCATGGTAACAACAACAAACACATGGTTAATGTTGTGCAACAGTCACAGTTTGGTTAGGTTTAGAAAAAGATTAAAATAAGTAGCTGAACATCAGTGTACCTTCAGTGTCAAGGTTGCAATAATAAGCACACAGGTACAGTTGAGTCACAATTAAAAGAAACAAAGTTCACAATTGGTTCAATGTGGTAAACGAATATCAGTCTCCTTTGTGACAGGACTCGTCCATCCACCCCAGCCTCCTCCTCTTAACATGGTTGCTCCACATACTACATTACCTGACTTCCTCCTTTGCTCCTGTTATAATTACAACGGCTACTAGAGGTCGCTTCACAATAAAACATGACTGTGTCATAACAAGCTGTAGAGTATATTTTTACCAGACAGTCTCTGGAAGTCCCACATTAACACTGGGTAGTTCCACAGTTCTTCATGTCATGGATCCAACAGATGTTGAAACTTTCAGCTGCACCTTCATGCTGCTAATCTCCTGTTGTACCACATCCCAAAGGTGCTCTACTGGACTGGTAGGTGTTTTACTGGATTGGGGTCACTGAAGTTCACTGAACTCATTGTCATGTTGATGAAACCAGATTGTGACATGGAGCATTATCCTGCTGGAAGGAGCCATTAGAAGATAGTGAACTGGAGCCATGAAGGATGAACATGGTCAGCAACAATACTCAGATAGACTGAGACATTCAGACCATGATTGATGGTATTAAGAAGAACACATTCCCCACACCATCACACCACCACAACCAGCCTGGACTGTTGACACAAGGCAGGTTGGTCCAGGGATTCAGACTCTGACTCTACCATCTGCTGCCTCAGCACAACTCCTGATCCATCAGACCAGGTCTGCAACTGTCCAGTGTTGGTGAGTCTGTGTCCACTTCAGCATCATGTTTCTGGTCTTGGTGACAGGAAGTGCAACCTGACGTGGTCTTCTGCTATTGTAGTCCATCCACCTCAAGGTTGGACGTGTTGTTCACTCTGAAGCTTTTGTGCTCAGCACAGATGTAAAGAGTGACCATAGCCTTTCTGTCAGCTCCAACCACTCTGTCCATCCTCCTCTGACCTCTCTCATCAACACACAGCTGCTGCTCACTGGATGCTTTTTGTCTGACACCAACAATCATGTCACAGTCACAGTCACTGAGCCACATTTGTCCTCATTCTGATATTTGATGTGAACATTACCTGATGCTCCTGACCTATATCTGCAGGATTTTATACACTGGTACCACATTATTGGCTGATTGGATAATTGCAGGAATAACATGTGTACAGGCTTTCCTAAAAAGGGCTCAGGGAGTGTATTACAGCCCGTTGATTTATCCATTTACCCCAAATTTGAGGCAAACCTGAATACTGAATCTACGTGGCACCTAGCATCTCTTCAAATAATGAATATGAATTTTGACCTGATAATATTTCAGAAGCCAAATGAAAACCAACATTGCAATAATACCTTAATTGATTGTCAAATATTTCAAATTATCTGTAATTTAAAGGGAATTATTTTCAAATGAACAGGTCTCTGACAACCTTGGTGTGTGGTGTGTTTTCAGGGGTAAATTAAGAACTAATTAAAGGGTTATTAAAGGGTTTGTTGCTGGTTGTCTGGCTTCAGAAATGATGTCGCATGATGATGATTGATGATCATTTACACAGGAGAATGAGTTTTGGAAAAATAACAGAAACACCACCAATGTGCATAATAATATGTTATAACAGCCAATATAAAGGCTTGGTACACTTTACAATAAGACTACTCTTATAAAGGATTTATAAATGGTTTATAATTAGGTTATTACTTCGGTTATTAACACTCTATAAATCATCAATAAACAATTATATACAAGTTATAACACAGTTTTCATACAGTGATCTTACTAATGAGTTACTACCATTTATAACTGGTAAAAGTAGCTTTGTAGTAAAGTGTAAAACACATCACCATTTATTAATGAGCTACTTGTAATTATAACTGGTAATAGGGAGCTTTATTGTAACTCATTAATTCCTTAAGTAAAGGAAGGTTACAAACTGTCTTCTACCTGGAATGCTAAAGTCCTAAAGAAGAGACCAACCAGCAAAAAGCATCTCCATGTTAATCTCCACTGTGCAGAACAGTCTGATCAACAGCTGTGATTATAATGAGGACGGCTGCTGAGAGCATGTCAAGGTAAACAACACTGCCAAGGCCTAAGAGGATGAATCTGGTCATGTGATATGATCATTTGATCTGCCATAATCTGATCTGTCAAATGAAACGATTTGACCATTAAGATGCTGTTGGTGGTTCATTGATAGTACCTGAACAAAGGTGATGAAGCAGCAGGTACAAACGCTGATGATGGAGAAAACAAAGGAAGCTCAGTACTCACTAACGAGATATGAGGCTTAACAGTACAGAAACGTGTGGGCTCACTATTTGGCAAGCAACAGGTCACTGTTGCCCTTTTTATCTAATGTGTTACAACAGCGTATAAATGATTTATAAAGTGTTAACAAGCTAATTAATAAACTATTTATAAACCATTCATAAATCCTTTATAAGGATAGTCTTATTGTAAAGAGGTACCCTTATATTATTTTAATAAGGAGCTAAAACCAGATCTGGTAGTATGGTAGTCATTCTAAGGCAGAGCAGACTGAAGCAGAGATTATGGGATTTTAAAAGTAAATGCAATAAATGAAAAAGTGAAAAATCAGTGTTTCTTAATCTAGAGTTTGTAGCGCAGTTTAGCATGAACTCTGATATGCATCATTTGTGTTTATGTTGTCAGTTGACTTCAAGGTTGTGACTAAGATGCATCATGGACCCGGGGCGAGCTCCAACCGCCCACTGAGCATCAAACAACAAGCGTCAAACAAAAGAAAAGAAAAGAAAACACAACACAACACAACACAACACAACACAACACAAGACAACACAACACAACACAACACAACAAAACAAAAAGAGGTGAGAGAAGCAGTAGTGCACCTACCGACTACAGTCAGCAACATGTTGTCCAGCAGTAGAGCGACGAAAACGATGAAGAGAATCAGTTTCCTCGACTGTCGCTCTTCTCTGAGCCATTTGATCAAATTAAACTGCCGAAGCTCGTCTAACCTTCCCATGATGTTAGTCCCGAACACAGCAACAGGGTCGACAGCAGGCGGATGTGCTCCTGCAGAGGGAGAGGTGGCATCAACGGGTCAGTAACTTTTAAAAATCTACCTGTCTGAGTGAGAAACGATCCACTAACTGTTCACACTGTGGCCGCTGCAGTTTGGAAACCTTACCTTGGATGCACAGGGTTCAACAGCAGCAGCAGAGATGGGAGGAGGAGATGCTGTGTGTTTCTACTGACTGGACCCACTGCTGACGTCATTCAGCCTGGCTCCCTGTCAGACCTGCCTTCAAACAGTCAAACCAGAACCAGTGGATTAGAGAACATCATCAGTGTTGCAGCAGTAGACCTGAGGTAGTAAACAGGATCAAAATTGGCCTTTAATGATGATGTGAAGAACAACACTGACCTCAATTGATATTTCATAGATCACCGACTTTACTGGAGATGACCACCTCAAAATAAATCTGCTGTCACGGGTATTCATTCATGATTTACCTCCTGCCAGGGTTCATTAGAGACATGTCTTACAAATTCCTGTTTCTTTGCTTATTGACATAACTACAGATAACTAGGATAATAAATAACATAAAAGACAAAACAGTTCAACACATCAGTTATTCATAATCTTTCATAGAAATGTAGCTGAACTGAAACACTGAAAACCTGCAAGGAAATAGTTAAAGCCCAATCAATAACTGCATAACAATGACAGGTTTAAAAGTAAAAGTAATGGCAGAGTTTGAATATAGATTATTGTATGTATTTCACAGCTGAACATCATTCCTGCTGCAGAGTTCACTGACTGTATACCAGTCTGGTATACAGAACTATCAGGATTTATTGGGGCATAGTAATATATAGTAACATATAGAAACTATCAACAGTTGATATTAATATCATCCATTGTCTCCAGTATTTTATATTGTGAATGCCCCTTTCCTGTGTTCAGAGACTGGATAAGTGTACATGTCTCTTTGTCTCAGAGCTACAGGGAGCTGCATCAGTGATGAGGGAGACGAAGCAGTAGTGCTGTAAAGGTGTGAGTGACGTCATTATTGATAGTTTGTCCAAAAGTTAGAATGAAATCACTTTTAAACAGAGTTGATGCATTTACAGTAAATATTTTTATATATAATATCAGACTGACAAACACATCCTGTATCTGATGAGGCATCAACACTCGAGATGGAAATTATGGATCACTTTGCTAATTAGATTTTTATTTCTGTGTAGTTCAGAGATTTTTTGTCATTTTTTCTACGCTAATCAACTGCATCAAACACATCACCTCCTGCTCCTACATGAGGGAGAGGACCTCATCTTTGATGACAGTAACGGACTGTCTTCAGTTCAGTAGCAGGTCTGGTTTACACTGTTCTACAGCTAGGCCTGTACATCAGCCATGTATTGATGAGTTGGAACATGATTGTTTCTGGTAGCGATGTGCTATATGGACACCACGGATGAGAGATCCACAAGTAAAAACTACTGATGTGTTTGATGACAGTGATTCAGTTCAGTGAATTCAGGTGTTGTTCGTACATGTGGCCTGCTGAACAGGTTGATACTGAGGATGATGAAGGTGGGGAGTAAAAAACACTGACTTCAAACAGGTTATAACATTGGAGTGAAATTGCAGAGTTGGGTGATATAATTCTCTGTGGGTTTGTCACTTCAACACATCACAGGATGTTATTTGATCCACTGCACCAACAGTGCAGCTTTAAGGTATCAGAGTGATCTTCTCCCAAAGATGGCAAAGGAAAGGAAAATGAAGGCATACGATTGAACTGATGTAACGGATACCAAAAGTAGTTGGCATAGATTAAGAGATGATCAAGTCAAGTAGCAATCAAGTGTTTCCTTACTCTTTTTGTTTGGATTTGGGTCATGGATAGGTCTGAAGGAGACCAGTTTCAGGCTAAATTTATTGGGATTTGAACATTAGCTGAATCACATGGAAAAGGTCATAATAATATTTAGGTGAAAGATTGCATTAGATTATTCCAGTTTCATGATTTTGGTGTCATAAAGGGTTTGTTTTATCTAATTATCTGTGCTTGCTTTCATGGTTTTCTTCAATAACGATGTTTTACTTAAATTTCCCCCTGAAAGCTTCAAACAGCAGCAGATCCTCCTCTGCCTGTGAAGCAGATGTAAATCTGAGGTTGATACAGTCTGGCAGCAGCTGTGAGTCTCCACTCTCACTTCCTCATAGTTTTACAGCAGCACCATCTTGTGCTCTGTGAACACTACTACAACAGGACTCTCACTTACTGGGGGCCTCATATAGTAAACAGCCTAGGATCCAGACTGAACATGTATGTGTGCACAAAAGCCAAAAATGTTGTACACAATGCCCCCATGCCCCCATGAAATCTCCCTTTATGAATCACAATCAACTTGAAAATGTGTGCACTTTGAGGAGCCACATGCTCTGCCCACAACACACCCACAATATACCATAAATGGTCAGATCCCTCATGAATACTGATCTACATGTTGTCCCTGTGAGAATGGAGTTGGAGGCTGACGCTGCAGCGGCAACAAACAGAACAATTTACAAGATGAAACAGTGATCAGACATGGAGGAGGACGTCAGAATGTGGACCTACTAGCAGAGACACAGAGACACAGAAGCTCAACTCTTGCTATATGTTTAAACTTATAATCTGTAACTTTTCCACATTAAAATGTCTAAAAACAATGTTTCCTTCAATTCTCAAACCAGAGAAATCTGTGACTTTAATCATGCTCGACACTCTATTTCATTTGTTGTCTGTCAATGACATCATATCCTGTGCATGTGTCAGTCATATGATTCTGCGTCACCCAAGACTCCCTTGTGTGGAAAAGGGTTTATCCATATCTTGTACCAGAATAGAAAATTTGATGGAATTTTCATGTGCATCAAAAAATATTTACAATTATGAAATTTTATAAGGGATAACCTTTGAGAACAGTGGAAACTAGCTGAGATGTCATCCACTGAACTTCTTTTTCAGGACAGTCAACCCAGGTTGACAACAAAACCCTCTTACCTCTTCTGTCAACTTCTAAACCAGAAAGATGGAGACTGAGGCGAGAGAGGGATCAGTACTGTGGACAGATTTATGTAGCAATAGTCTTACTTGTACACTAAACTCAAGATATAGATTAATTCAATTTTCTACATCTCTTCTTTATCTTGCCCCTTCCAACTTACATGGATTGAACACCAATTTCCCATTCCCGTTGTTTTGGATGTGTTTTAGTAAAGGGCAGGTTTTTGGGATGGGATCTGTGGCACTGAAGAGTTTCTTCTCCATTACACCCTGAGATATGTCTAAGAGCAATCTCTCCAAATCTAATCCAGTCATATCTGCCCCTGTTAGTGAATCTTTATTTGGACTCTGTTTATTATTTCCTATTTTATTTTGATATTATTTACCTTTTGTTTCTGTTGATTGTTTTACTTTCTGACATCTATTTTCTTCCTGATTTAGTTCCTTTGTTTTCCTTGTGTTTATTTCTGTTATCTGACCTCATGGACTCCTTGCTGCCAATATCCACTTGTACAATTCTTTTTCTCATATCTCATCCCTCATTTAAGAGCAACTTCACTTATTCAACTTGCCTCTGCATCTTTCTGCAATTGGGTCCTTTTCCCTGTAAACCGTAACAGTACAAATTGACCAGCAGACTTCTGAGGGTGATATTAGTGAAGTTATCCGCTGCTTCCAATGACTTCACAGCCTAGTGTGGGGGAGGGGTTTTTTGCTTGTAGTGTTATGTATGAGTCGGTTTACAGTGGGTATTTGAACCAAAGATCTTTATATCAATCTAACATATTGCAAATGTCAGAACTATTGGATTCTTTTGAACAGTTCCAGCCTGACAGTCGTCCTATGCTTCAGTGCTTCCGATTCCTCCAGTACCATCAGGCCCAGTCAGATTTGAGGAATCCTCTATTTGTGGGTCAGAAACACAAGAGAGAGCATCCCCAGTGAACCCTAGAGGGTGCAGAGCACCATCAGCTCTGAGACATCCTCACCCAGTAAGTGTTTAAAAAGTAGAATTAATATAATCAGTATGAAGCAGTTGCAGTGAGACACAGTTTGCCCTAAAAGTAACTTTTTCTTCAATTACTGTACTTAAGTATTTCCATTTTAAGCTTTCTACTTTTACTCCATTTATTTGACAGCTCTTTTACTTTAACTACGTTTTGCTGCTAATACTCTGAACTTTTACTTTACTAGGTTTCTACTTGTATTGAAGGACATCTGTATGCATACTTTTTATTTAAGTGAAGGATCTGATTACTTCCTCCACCACTGCCTACATATACTATACCAATGGCCACCCAGCAGATGTCACCATCTCTAGTCACACACAAACTCTCTCTCTTTCCAGGGAACTGGAACCAATTTTTTGTTCTTCGATTGATAGATTTTTTTTAATGCATGAAACATTCAGATAATTGGGATTCATTGATGGAAGACGCAATAGAGACTGTTACAGGCTTTATCAGACAGAGTAACCCAAAATCTTCAGGTGTCAGTGTAACGGGTGTTGCAGCACAAAACACCACAGGTAAGATTGTAATGACTTATTCGCAGGAATGAGGATGAGCAGCAGTATAGCTCAGGTTAATAAACAGATGAGTAGTCGCTTGTGGTCTGGGGTGGGCCCGGGGAGAGCCGTGGGTCAGGTGAGTGAAGCACACACGTACACACACACACACACACGAAAGTTTGTGGGGAAGCAACAGGACCATTAGGGAGCAGGCTGGAGACATGGTTGAGCGAGCAGGAGGATCAGAACCAGGTGAGCAGTCAGTGGGGGTGGACGAATGTATTAGGAAAATACAGCACATTCCTAATACTATCTTTGGGGGTCATAAAACTCTATTTATATCACACCTGCAGAATTTGTGGTGCCTACACTGCTGTATGGGCATTCGCATTTTTCTGTTCATGTCTACTTTTAACTTGGCTTAGTGCCATACAAGGTAGTCGTGTCAAGAGTGATGACGTATGTACTACAGGTGTCCCGACAATTATGTGTATAAAAGCAGTTTGTAGTAAACATGCATTGCGCTCTTGGCCAGTAACACTCTTGTTGGCTGAGACATCCACTTGCAAGTGTCAGAATAAACTGGAAAGACTAGTTTCCTGTTTTCAGTCCTCTGTTTCCTGAAATTCCCACAACAACGAACCAGGCAGGCGGGTAATAAGAGCCAGACGAGGGATCAGGAAACCAGCAAGGAAATACTCGCAAGACAAATGCTGCGATGTCGGCACCAGAGAACACCAAACAGCCACAGGGACAGGCAGACGGGAACCAGGAAGCGCAGAGGCAGAACTCGTGGTCAGGGACAGAAGGCTGAGGCATTTAACAGGGCAGAGATGAGGCAGGATGGTCAGGGATGAACAGAGTCGATACCAAGAAGTCAGTCCGGAGATGACCGCTGGACAGTCTTGCATGAGTACAGAGAACAATCTGGCAATGAGTGAGTGGACCAAGGCTGCTTAAATACTGGCTGGATTGGAGATGGAGTGCAGCTGGGAGCAACAGGTGGGAACGGTGAGGCTGATGAGGAGGTGTGGCAGAGTGGAGAGTGAGACGGAGGCGGGGTGAGTGGAAAAACACTGAAGCAGCAGGTAAGAACTAGAGCAGGCTGTGACAGTCTGAATGATTAGATCCATGATGCAATAGCTAAATTAAATATAGCCTTCCCTCCAGTTCTGAACCAATCTCAGATCAATTCTCAGACCACCTGAGTGCCATAAACATGTTATCAAACATGTGAACATGTTATCAGCAAGTGAAGTGTGTACGCATAGTGAGTCAGACCCCCTGATCGAACCAAATGTGTGTAGAAACTATTCAGATTCATTAGCATTACTCTCTGCATTTGTCAGCTGGCCCATACAGCAATCTGTTGAGTTAATACAGTTAAGGGTCAATCCCCATAGACTCCCATGTTAAAATGTCCAACTTTACAGCAGAAATAAAGATGTTTACAGCCTGGTACAAAAACAGTTTTGGTCTCACGAGCTAATTTCCTCCTTCATGACAACTGTTTATATAACTCACCTGTTTACGTTTTATTAAGGCTTAAAGTTCTGCATAATTGAGGGCGTCACATACTGTAACAAACTCCTCCGAGTGAATTCATCAGATCGACATGATGGTTGCTGAGTGTCATCTTAAGACCTTTGTGAAGGTAATTGCGAAGCTTTGAATTTTAGCTGTAGGACCCCCTGATGATGTGGCAAATTTCGATCCCTTGCCATGAAAAATCAACCCGCTCTCATTCCAACACAAATTGTCCAAACTGCCTCAAATTTTCTGTGTTTGATAAGAGTCCCGCCCTGAACACACTCGTATGCTCATATTCAGTGATACTCATAGCGCCCCCTTTTGGAAACAGGAAGTGCCATGTTTTACACTTTGATATAGTGCTCTCAGCAGGTTGAACATATCTTGACCCAACCATGGTCAGGAAATGCTTAACAACTTGATTATGCACTGTAGTCAAACTGTGACTTTTCGTGGAACAGCCTGCCTGTGGCGGTACGGTGAATTTCGATCCTTCGCCATGAAAATTCAAATCGCTATAACTCCCGCATTTGATAAGAGTCCTGCCCTAAACAGACCTATATGTCCATATTTAGTAATACTCATAGCACCACCTCATTTCAACATGTGATATTGATTTCCTTTCCTAGAGAGTTGACCTGGCCCCAAAAAAAGGGTCAGAAAAAAATTTGTTGATGATGCTGATGCTTCATGGATGTCAATTTTAAGTTTTCACTGAAGGGCGTGGCTCTAGCGGCAAGTTAAATACGAAACAGGAAGCGGCTTTATGTCTGTGACATATTGTCCAATTCCAAGATCATTGTTGGTTCATTCTGCAACAATGCAATCCTACATTGCAGAGCTTTTGAGTTTTCGTCACATGACCTGCCCATGGCAGCGGGGCGAATTTCAATCTTTCGCCATGAAACAGGAAGTTGCTGTAACTCCAGCATGCAGGCTGAAACAGGCAGAAATTTTAAGGGTTTGATGAGACTCCCGCCGTGAATACACCTACATGCTCATATTTAGTAATACTCATAGCGCCACCTAATGGAAATATAGGAAGTGGTTATAACTCTATGATACTCTGTCCAATCTTCCCCAAATTTCACGTTTGATGACAGTCTCACACTGAAGACATCTGCATACTAATATTACACTATAGTAACAGAACCACCTACTGAAAATAGGACATAACTGTAATGTGACAGTCATATCATTGACATATCATGACATTTTCAGTGTAAGATCTGATACAGAGCCTCATGTGTGCCTATTATGTGGTCTCTGGCTCCACCTAGTGGTCACAATTGAGAATACATATAAAAATCCTTTTAATCTTTTCTGGTGCCACACAGTCTGTCTTAACCCATGAGTGCAGTGTCCAGTGGTCATTGGTTGAGACTTGTAACTGTAAAACTTTGCTATTGCTGTGGAGACCTGTGATCTCTGTATGCTTCAGTCCATTTGCAAATGCTGTGTTGAATAAAAACCACAAAGACAGTCCTGAGTTTATATCTTTATTAAGATTTCAACGTTTTCCATGTGCTTTACCTCCATGCTGACAGGCTTTGTTGATTAAACAAAGGGACGGTTTCAGCTCCAAAGCCCATTTGAAGTACATGGGGCTCTACCCGTTGCTTAAGGTTTACGCCATCAACTGCATCACTACAGTGGAAAAGAGGGTTGGTACTAGACAGTGTCTAGGGGTGCATTTGTACACTGTTCAGGAAAGGGTATATTGAAGAGACAAGCGTGGACCCTTTCAGCTGCACCACCAGTGTCTACTTTCTGAAAGGCTAGTAATACTTTCGATTACAGGCATCATTTCAAAACAAATTCAAAGACATCTTCATTCAACACGCTTTAAATGAAACAGTTGGTGCGGTCTTTTGTAGATGGTTTTGCCAAGATTAAAGGTTTGAAATATGTGTGGCACTTTCTAGGTTGTCCATCTTGTTCTCCACCTTATGACACCTTTCCTCTGACTGGTACCACCTTTAAGGAGTTGCAAGTGACCTGTAAGGATAAATGACAGATGTTACAGTCTGATCAGGGGGTCAAATCGATCGTCATACCTGGGTGGAGATGAAAAAATCCCATCAGGGGTTGAAGCACATTCCCCAGGCTCTGTCACCCTGCAATGATTTGTAAGGTGGTAGGATGTGCACCGTGAGGTTGAGCTATATTTTCCTGTTTGACCTTACGGAGCATCTGCAGGTAAGCTCCTACCCTCTGTTGTCTGTGCGCCAAACAAAATTTTCAAGAGGGTCACATCTGGGCACAGTGATAGGGTCAGAGCATTGACAGAGGTTTTGGTCACTCCTGAATTGAACAAGATCTTGGAGATGGGTTATTGGGTAACAAAGATCATGTCATGTGTGTGTGTGGCACTTTGATAGAAAAAGCAATTCAATATTCAACTACATGCACACAGGAGGGGGCCCCACCTGAGTAAAAGGATCAAAAAAGCAGGTAGAAGTACATCAGTATCATACTAAAAGGAGAATTTGCTTGGACGCCATCAAAACCCAGATAAAATGTCTAGATTGTGTCTCCACAGCTTTTCGGGTAAGTTTGTGCAGAGAAGTATCAGACCCAAACCAAACTAGAAACTTTATTTTAAGGAAAATAAAAAGTGAAGTTCTTCTCCTTCCTCAATGACTGAGTGGCTCTGGTTGAGTGGAGTTACAGCAATCAATGTACTGCACCCACAAACGAGGTGGATGTCGTCTTCATAGCAGCTACAGAGTCTACAGGCATACAGTTATTTGGAACACTTTTCTATTCAGCCTGGTTGATGTCACCACAGATGGGGGTCTTGACTCAAATTGGGAAATATACTTGTGGGAACTGATGGATGAGTTGGGGGGTGACAGCATACAGGAATTCATGATGGCAGGTCCCAAAGGTTAGGCATATCAGTGGGTGTTAAAGGGAATGGCATTCCAGCACGTTCAATTAATAAGCACCGTTGCACCTACATACCATGGAGGTGCAAAGGTCCTGAGCAGTGAGTACCAAGTTCGACTCCCAGCCGGCTGGACTCTTTGCTGCATGCCTTTGATGTCCCACACACCCTTGTCTTATGATATTTGTGGGGACCTGTCGTTGAGATAATGCAGCCCTGAGCCCCTTTCTCTAACCATAACCATCTGAACTGAATGCCTAACCCTCGCCATAACTTGAGGGTTAATATTACAGTCTAGAAAATATAATGATGTTAGTTTGACACCATGTTATAATGTGAATTTAAAAAAACAAACAAAGCTGAACTTAAAAGGCATTTTATTGAATTTTTCTAGCAGGTGGTAAGAAATCCAGAGTAAACACTAAACTACTGTGTCCGTCCACTGTAGAACTTTAAAGCAGTACAATTGCTGCAGCACAACTAATAGTCATTCCTTGGCAAGATACTGTACCTAGATATGCAGAATTTGAAGTTCCTTTTGACAGGAATCATTTTGAATATTGCCCTGTACTGGGCAAAAGCGTTTGGCACATGCACATTTTTTATTTTGCTCATGCTTGTAACCGAACAACCAGCACAAAGAGTGTACTGGACAAGTTCCTTCAGACTTTGGTCTGGACCTGTTTCAAAGCCAGGACTGTGAGCTTGCACAACTCTTGGACATGAGGCAGAGATTCTCTGGTCATTTAGTCATTCTCTTCATTTTTGAAAGTCTCCACATTTCCCCTGCTGATGAACTTGATGCACTGGCGGTAGCAGCTTACAATTCGTGTTTGGCTCAGCTTAAAAGCCATGGACATGATGGCCATGCCAACAATGATGAAGAGTGAAGTAAGCATGAAGTACTTGGGGTGATTTGGCACAATGTCACCAAAACCTATGGTAGTGAGCGTGATGAAGCAGAAGTAGTAGGGGTCAAATCCCTTGAATTCCGTTTCCCACAACGGCAGAATCAAACCGAAAAAGAAAATGTAGGCAAATACAATGAAAAGGATCAGCACAAAAGGGACATCCAACATTTCCATTCCATCCCCTAACCCTGTGAAGTCCCATATGGTGTATCCTTTGGGTGGTGGTGGCAGCTGGTCCAGCTCTGGGCAGGAGAGGGTCCTGAGCAGTGGGCCCTTTCTGAGTAAATTCTCCCTGGCCAGAATCTTCTCAAAGATCTCTTTGTTGTCCTGGAGCTGGATGGACTTGTGCCGTACATCTGCCTGGCTGTGCATCACCTGCCGGATGTCGAGTGGTTCACGGATCACAACATCATGACTGAAAACAAAGGTACCATCGTTTAGGGCCCAGTGGCTCGACTCCACCGTCCTCTTATGAGCCTTCCACGGTGAACGGGTGTGGGAGAGGAGGATTTTGCAGAGGGCGTGAATGTGGACATAGGCTCTGGACATAAGCCGAGCAAGGAAGTCTCCTACATCAAGGATGACCAGAAGCATGAGGGGGATGCCCACCATGGCATAGAAGACACACACCACCTTACCAGGCAGGGTAACTGGATAAATCTCCCCATACCCTGCAACAATATTAGAGAAAATGGACACTTTAGTAAATGTAGGATTTAAAGACAAAGCCATGTTAATCTAACCACAGCAATCACATCAAAGACTATTGAACAGATCTGCAAATATGAATATTACTTTTAATTTCATGAACCAAAATTCTGACAAGACATATTCGTCAACAACCAAGACGAAACTGATGTCTGTGTTTAAATCCCTGAACAATATTGTTGAAAAGCTACAAAGTCTCTGGGAAGAATATCACAAACTTGACACCTTAAAGTTCAGGTTATCTGGCGTGGGGTTGTGTGAGGTACTTACATACAGTCAGTGTATTACCTGCAGTATATTCAGTTTAGAGAAGCAGCAGGAGCACTGATACAGAAGCTAAGTGATGAGCTGCTGTGGACAGGGTCAGCAGAAAAACGTATTGTAGCCACTTAAAAAATACCCACAGAAAAAGACTAATATCAGTTTAAGTGTTCAATGTATTTTGAATATTTTCACCACTATCAGTTGAGTTCAACTGTTTTTTTTCTGTGGGTATTTTTTAAGTGGCTAAGATATGATTTTCTGCTGAACCCGTCCACAGCAGCTCATCACTCAGCTTCTGTACCGCTGCTGCTGCTTCTCTAAACTGAATATACTGCAGGTAATACACTGACTGTAGATCGGTACCTCACACAACACCACGTCATATAACCTGAACGATCACTTTATGGTGCACCACACAGATATTGAGGTAATGTGAAGACTTTAAATGTTACATTAATTTTAAAGCTGAATTAAGCCAAATACTAAGGATGGTAATGTTATGTATTAGCATCTCACAGCAATGGAGCATTGCTACATTGCCTGCACATGGAGAACTTAATTGAAAAGTTAATAGCCTACCCAGCTAAGTTGGCTAAACTTTACCTAGATAAGTTTGTTTATTTTGCAGTGTTAAACATGCTATCGTACTGAAATGCAGAGCATATTATATGAAGTTTGTGTTGTACAACCTATAATAAACACTAACTGTATGAGTATAACGCAGTCCAGTGCAACACTAGCACTAAGGCCTACAACATTACAGAATAAAATCACTGTCAAACAAATCTGAACGTTATCAGAGTAGAACTTATTGCAGCACTGTTGTACAGGGATTGCATTGGATTTGCTAATGTTGTTGCATCTTTTCCAGACTTAATTGTTTAAACCTCTTTCATGTATGTAATTGCTTGAATTAATCACAGAAACCCTCTCTGCAATACATACTGACATCTTGTTTGATGGTTGTTTGCAGATTTTAAAACTAGACTAAAATGTTCACAAAATTATTGTCAACTAATCTTCCAATAAATAAAAATACAGATAGATAGTAAAGAATTTGAGGCATCCAATGTATTCAAGGCTCCAATGTACATGCATGGTAATGAATTAAGAAATGCTGGGTTTTTTTAAACGACGTACTGTCACACACTGTAAAACATTGATTTGACACAATTGTTTCCCATTGGAACTTAAATGATCAATTTCACTTTTCAAAAGTAACTAACAAGACAACACAAAGGAGAGTGGCTCTAACCTCTAACAACTTCTAATGAGCTTTTTGTGGTGATGTAAACACTATTCTCCTCTGAGAGAGGACAACACTTCCTGTTGCTGCTAAGCCATTAGCCATTAGCTGGCTTCCCTTAACCACTAAACATGTATATGTAGTATGTAGGTAGCAGACTGACTAATGTATCTTGACAAGGCTTCTCCACATTAAATCATGTCAGAAAAATCAACTCATGAACTTATGAATCAACTTATGAAGGATCCTGAAATAGATTTATATCATTTTAGCCTTTTGCAGTCACAAAAAATCTTTAAAAAAATGCACAAAGACAATATAGTTTCAAAATTACTACAATGACAAATCATGTTTGTCAGCAGGTCTGCAGCAGAATCAGTTCCTTCCACTGGTAAAATCCACAACCATGTGTTGAAGCTCCCTGCTGATTACTACTGGTCCATGGTCAGCTGACAGCAGAGCACAGACCCTGGTTCATCTGAATCCCAGATGTGGAGGTAAATACATTCTGAAGCAGTCTGTCTACACAAGCACATTACTACAGATCCTTAGATCCTGTTCACACCTAGTATTAAAATGCAGTCACATGTCAATGACAGGTGTAAAGACACTGTGATCAAAATGTTATTGGATCTGCCTGAACACTAGTGGCTTGCATTGTGTTTGGATCTTAACAAGGTGTTAATGCAATCTTTGACACCTACAGCTGATTTTCCATCACCTGAAATGACTCAGGTACAGTTTTTGCTCTGGAGGACAAAGATCTGACGTCAGTGAGGACAATGAAACCTCATTAAAAACACCAGGTGTAAGCTCAAAGGTGAGATCAGATCATTTATAATCTGGATACAGATACCATTTTAACACCAGGTGTAAACAGGGTGTTAGATACCAGATGAATGGCCAGTTGCAGCTGAATGGCTGTGGGTTCTCATTATTTTTAGATTGTTCCAATGAGTTAAATACCTGAGCACTTCCAGACAATGCCAACAAGATGTGTCTTCTAATAAACTGTGAATGGGGCATTGGCCCCACAGGGACTGACAGGCAGTGGCCAGAGGCCTGTTGGTCCTCAGTTATTCCAACTATCCACAAACAGCTGCCATCTGATCATGAGACACAGACAGATCAGGAACGAAGGCAGCGTCAACTTTTTTTAGGATCTCAGCTCGTTAGTATGTGAGTCAGTAAGTAATGCAATAATGAGGTGTCTGTACTGTGTGCAGTGGAAATATGTTGAGAAAAGCATCTCAACAATTACTGAGCAGACTGTCATGAAACTGTATGGATTCTTAGAGATGTGGAGGAGGTCTAAAGATCATGTTTCCACAAAATATTCTGTCAATATTCATCAATAATTCATAACGTATCAGACAAATGTCCATGCATTTCCTAACGAGTTAGCCAAACACTTCAATTCAGTAAAGTTTAATTTTACTGCTGAGATTCAAACATATCACATCATCTAAACATCATTGCTATTAAGGCTGTAATTCCTTGTTTTCAATTTGCTGCACTGCCCACATTTAGCATCATTCCACACTAAATTTATCACAAAAGGTTTGAATAGAATTTTATTTTTCCACTGCTGCAAACTCTGAATGGGTTCAGACTGGTTCAGTCATTCAGCCCTCTTCACAGGCGGTGTAACGGCTTGTGTTTTGTTCATGCTATATGCATGTAAACATGATAAGAAGCATATTTTTACACTTTTCCTTTTGTTTTGTACACAGTTGACCTACGTTCTGTACTGTGCCTGAACACATTCTTGTATACACAGATGGAGGACTGAAGCTAACGTGCTGCTCACGCTACAGCTCCTGAGTAGACATGACAACTAAAAGAAGCTAGAAGTACATCATTCTGACAACCATTTTCTTTTCTAAGTCACCTGATAAATATGGATACAACACTGAAGCCCTTTCTCACTCTGCATTCTTCTCTGTACTTAGGTTCTCGTGGACTTGTGAAAAGTCATCAGTCTCAGCCAGAGTACTGTTCCAATTCAAAGTCTGCATCTACTCATGTATAGATCAAATATCAGGACATGTTCTCGCTCCGCCCGTTTTATCCAGGATGCATTGGTACATGACTTGTTTGGACTTGGGGCATTTCACACCAAATAACGACAATGGCAGATATTCTGAGCCTTGGGCTTAAAGTTCTGCATAACTGAGGGCGGAGTCAGGAACTGGCAAGATGGTGATGATGGAATGGCTCACTCTGAGCTTCAAAACTGCTCTTCAGAAACCTATGGGTGACATCACAAAGGCTGTGTCCGTCTTTATTTACATGGTCTATGGTTAAAACACTAGTGGTACCTAAAACTGTCAAGCCCACAGAAAAATTATCTGTCCTGAACCTCTGACAACTTTGCTTATACCATCTCACCCTACCACACACAACTCAGCTTCCAGCTGCTGCTTCTGGTTTCAGCAACATAGAAACCGGATCCAATTCTTACTGGCTTGTAAAGCTGGGCGGCCATCTTGCAACTTCATATTTTCACAGCTTTTATTTAACACAACTGAGTAAATAAAAAACCCAAAAGTAATGTTCACGATATGGGACCTTTAAAGTGACAGAGAACCAAAGTGTAAAGCAGGTTAGGGTTAGAGTCTCCAATGAGCTGAAATCACATGTTACATTATTACATTGTTACATTACATACAGCCATCTGATCCACAAATATAACAATAGTTCAGTAGCATAGTTCAGGCTGTTCTGCCCCTCAACTGGGGCAACTGGAGGTTTACTAGGAAAGTAAACACAGGTTCCAGTGGTTGTTGTATAAAGTACAGTATTACAATGAGAAACACCAGATCTCCTCTCATGTATACACACGGCTGACTGCTTTGTACGCACTGACTAGGCCTCAGTAATACAAGGCAAGCATTTTTACTCAATACATGGAGCTGAGCACACAGCCATTAGTACTAAAGTGCACCAAACCACAAGTCACAGACCGCAACAGAGCAATATAAAACCCCTCTGAGAGAAGAATGGCAAATAAATAATGACACTTTCACTTGTATGGAAGGTGGACCCCACTGAATGAATGATCATCCCTCTGACTTACCAATTGTTGTGAACACAGTGCAGCAGAAGAACATGGAGCCAAAGAAATTCCACCTGTCAGGCCTCTGGAGCCAGATCGACTTGAAGCTTTCACGCATCTTGGTCTCCACCTGCTTCAGTATGTACTGATGCGTGAGGGAGGCGTTATCTGGAAATACAAAGGAAACACTGATGCATGGCACATGCATTAGGGAGTACTGAGCCGTTATTAATATTTATATATGGGCTTGTTGTTTGTGGTAAGGAAGGAAGGATGCCTTAGTCCAAACTCATCTTCAGTGTTAGCTCAAAAGAAAAGTCCACACATGTCGACATAAATGAACTATTAAAGTTTTATTTCGACAGATATCTGTGGCCATTTACCGGAGAGGTTCTGGACGGTGCTGACGATCTGACCCAGGAACTCATGGTACTCCGTCTGGGTGGTGGAATTGCTGCTTCCTTCCACGTACTGGAACATGAGCGCACCCAGCGCAGCGTAAGCGACCAGAGACAGACACAGCAGAAGGTGCGGGAAGAGCCTCCAGAGACGCGCAGCGCATTTTCTGGACTCGGCTTTGGCGCTTATTCCTTTCTTCACTGCCAGTGACATCTTCTTCTTCTTCTTCTTCTTCTTCCTCTACTTCTTCTTCTCCCGCGTCCACTTGTTCCACTGCAGCTCCAACAGTGTGTGTAGAGAGCGGATGTGCGTCCGTCAGCTCAGTGTGTGCAATGAGTGCGGAGGTAGCTGAGGCAGGACCACACCACATACACGGTCTATGCACGCATTACAGAAACTGGGCTGAGGCCTCCGGGGACATCCTTTATTGACTCTACAGTCTATCACTCCCCCTCTGACTACTTGAGGTCCTGGGGAAGCCTGACAGAGGCTCTGACAGCCTCCACAAACATTTACAAGCATCAGGCCAACACTGATGTGATCAGTTTGAAGGCTTTATGAAAAAACTGGCTTATTTGTCAATACTAAATTGAAGTGAAGCTGAATACATATACAGCTAGAATAAAATCATTTATTATGAATACAGCAGATTCCACATAAAGCTGTATTTTTACTTTTGTTGATGGGAATAACATCCCATTCTCCCAGCTTATCCCATCCATCAACATGCAGACTGGAAACCAGTGGTGCAGGAACTAAGATCAATCAATACAACTGTGTAAGAATACAATAATATTTCCCTCTGAAATGTGGTTAAAATATAAAGTAGCATAAATGGAAACACCCAATAGAAACACCAAAAAATTGTACTGAAGTAAAAGTAATCTCGAAAAACAAATGATCTTGTCCTCCATAAAACACCAGGGGGCAACAGGTGCTGCAGGATGTCTATATTTAGTGAATCATGTGAGGACCAGTTGTGGGTCAGAGTCAGACAACAACCGGGGCCTCCTTCTGTAAATACCTCAAGACTATGAAACACTCCGACGCATTATATTTGGGGTGCCAGCCTTTAACATGTGACTGACTGTATGTGAAATTATTCAGTTTACTATGGAGACAAAGATTCACACTGAGCTTAACAAATATTCATATAGGATGTGGATGTCTATTGAGTTTATCATTTAAACGGCTTCACACCACGTTAGAAAAGAGTTATTAGAAAACTGATACTTTCAGAGACACTAGCTCAAAGCACTGGAGGGACTGATGTAATACAACAGCCAACTAGTTAAGAGCACAGCAGCTGGGCTTCTTACTGGTTTCAAAAGACATCCCATTTTCCCAGTACTGGCTTCTCCTCATTTGCTCCCTGTCCGTTTAGATTGATTTTAAGATTTTACTGATCACTTTTAAAGCTTGGCCTGGCCCAGAGCTACGTAACAGAAATGTTAAAGCTCCATATAGTCTAAAGGTCTCTGTCCATGTGTTCTTTGATTATACAGCAGGTCTAGGTTCTATATTAATACTGTGAAAGTATCAAAGCCTCAGTCCACAGAGAAATGCACACAGCCTGTATTCAGAAACTGAGCCTTAAAACCAGCCGTCAGGACTTCTGGAACTTTGTGATGTCACAGCAAAGCAGTCACTTCCCTCAGCCATGCCCAAAGCCCTGCCCACCTAGATCCATCATTCAACCTCCAAAGTTCCAAAGTTGAGGCTTGAATCTAAAGGTGACTAACTCTTGCAATCAGGAGGAGATAAAGCAGAATCAGTGACTTGTTTTAAAACACTTCTTAATACCCAGTTTTGCTTATATGATGTCATCTTTTTTTTTAATGGTTCTACTCTCCTCGGTTGTTTTTATTTATATTGAAGTCTATTGTATTGTTAGTCTCTTTTCTCTAACTTTACCTCATGTCTGTCCTGCTTTTGTTTGGCTGCACTGTGAACTTTCACTGCACTTCTTTACTTGATCTCCTTCAATTATTAAATAGATGTAGTACTGAACTTAGTCCTTATACCAAGGTCTCCTACTGCTCTGAAGCTTTACTGGTGTCCCTCACCGGTAAGTCTCTTTGGATAAACACATCTAACAAATGATTAAATGTAAACGTAAAAGTAAAAGTAATGTGTATTTCACACAGTTACAATGAACACTTGTCAATACAATAGATTAATATCAATAGTTATCTCAGAAGGAAAACTAGAGAAACATATCAAATCCATCTTTGCGGCCAAATTCTTTGGCATTTGAAAGACAAAACAACTTACGGTACAACTGTTAAAATCAAGGGCCTTAAAACATCAAGTTTTTGTGAAAAAAAAGTTACGTGTTGTCAAGGTTGCCAGGCGACAGGAGCTGAGCTTTGTGATGCAACGGTAAGGGCACAGCTGGTGATGCATAGCATAAATCCTCCATAGACCAGACTGTTTCATTTTGGTTCAACCTTTGCAGTCTATACGACGATGGAGGACCACACCTTTGTAGGCCGAAGGATGCAGCCCCTGAATTGGGACACAGCTCATGCTACCATAAACCTGATGGATTTGACCCAAAGAACTCAGAAGAAAATTCAACAAGAGCCTACAGCAAACATGAACACATGTACAAATGCTACCATCTACCAGCTTTACACAAAAAGCACAGCTGTGGTTGATGTCATTCAGTATTCAGTCATAGACCAAAGTACTGGGTGTTTATTAAAAGTTAGAGAATCATCAACATGAACTTTTATTGAACCAACACTCTGAGGAAAACAGTATTTTTTTGAAGGTATTTTAGTGTAATGAATGGGTGAACAGGTAAAAAAAACTATGTTTAAGACATTAATTGATCAATGATATTATAGAGTCACAGCTTATAACTTAATAATTGCGATCAGATTCAGATGTCAGTAATTATTATAATTATTATCCATTATTATCTATTATTTCTAATGGAGCTGAAGGTTATTAATATTTAGATATTCAATATTTATTTATTTAAACTGATGATAAAGTCTGTAGTGTCCCTCTCACTTAAATTCATTCAGAATGACCATAATTGGTCTAACAGAGGTAAAATCCAGCACAGGGAGGTCCAGTGACTTCTGGCGTCTCTATCTAAAACGCTCCACTTGAACAACCCTAATGTCTGCTCAGCGTCAGTGGAATAAACATTCTGCTGGAGTTGTGTTTAAAGTAAACAGCCATCAAAGTCACACTGCTCTGGCCTCTGCTCATCACATTATTTAACACTGACACCATACCAAAGCAGCGAGTCATCAGTGATGTTGGTCCTGGCCCTCGACTCCATGTCTCAGACAAAGCTTTTAAAGGCACGCTCAGTCATCTCTGTTTGTATTAGTGTGAACTTGGAGGAAATCTCACTCAGGCTGATAAATCATTTTTGACTGTGTGTATATTTTAGGCTAATTTTACAGACAACACCACATGACAGTTTGAGCATGGCACACATGGACCATGCTGAAAGCCAAGTGCTGGTGGTCTTACACCAGCACAGTGTGGGTGGAGATGTGGTCGAGCCCCTTTGTCTTAAGTTCCATTATCACATTGAAGCACCAAGATAAAGGTTTGTAATGAAACATTGAATGAATGGGGCAGTTTCACAAACATCCAGAGTTAAGTTAGGAACTTAAAGGCAGATGTATAGTTGTGTGTTGATGGGTCAACGGCTGCAGCTGCTACAGGTGTACTCTCCACAGCTAAACTGTAGCTGATGTACATATAACCACAGATCAAAGCTTCCCAGGAAAAGCAGGACACATTTGAATGAGCCTCTGAAATGGGACAGTCTGTCTGTTTTTGTTCCAGCCATGTTTCCCCTGTGTTTCCTAGAGCTTCCGTTTTTCCTTCCATTGCGCTAAAAGTAGCACCTTAGTCTGGGAGAAGTTAAAGTTAGTGGAGAGGACTCCTAACTCACTAAGACCAAATCACAAAGAATCTTAAGGGGCTGCTGTCATTCTACGTCGCAGTGTTTTGGAAACCTTACATGATGCTGAATTACTTAAAAAATACACCTCAATCATTAGGGAATAATGATGGTTGTGGAGTTTGTGTGAAATTAAGTGTTTGGCAAAGCTGCGTTACTTGCCAACAGAGAAAAGCCAATCTATTCACCAAACAATAAATGCACTCCGACATCATAGGACAATTCATACAATTTCTTTTAGATGTTCAACAACTTCAGAGAAGCAGCTTCATGGCAATTGCCAATCTACCCAGTGTGATCGGTGCCAGAGAGTGAACAAATGTAAAAATGATTGCACCATCACGAGACGAGGAGGTATTTTGTAAACAGGAAAAGAAAATCACACCATCAACACAGGTTGTATTGGATGCTGCCTGTGTAGTTCTAGACATTGTTGTACAGTGTCCAGGATCTACACACGATTCATGGATCTTAATGGAGAGTGACCTGAGGCAGCTGTTTGAAAGGATCATATTCCAGCTGGATGTCACCTGGTGGGGGACAGTGGGAATCTTCTCATACCTCAACCCACAGCTGGGACCACAGCTACATTACAACAGGTACAGCTACAGCAGGCTGTGGCTAATAGGCTACAAGTTAGCTTTGGGTGGTCATCTAGGACAGGTGAGTTTTTTTTTCTTTCCAAAGAGAGAATTAAATGTAAGTTTTTATATTAAAATCAAATTCTCCCGGGTCAACACAAACCTTATCATACAGATACATTTTGGAAAATGTACTACTTTTGTAAACAGCATCTAATCTGTTATTATTTCATTTGTAATTTTATTTCTCTGTGTTTTTTTACTATTATTGCGGGATGTTGCGCATGCATAGATGCTTGTCCTTCCAGCAGCTTCTCCATCTCTTCTGAAGCTCCTCTCTGAAACAGGTCCTTCTAACCTGGTCCCTCAGTTTGTCTAGAAAGGTCCAGGTCTTAGACTTTTTCATAGATTAAAAGTGTCTTATGTGGGGACATGTGTTGGATTTTCTATGCACTTTAGGAGAAATGTAATTTTAAAGAGCATTCACCCATTTTCCATCTTCAGTTTACTGCTTCTTAATCATATATAAGATTCTTAACAATTCAAGCTATTAGGATGTATTTAAAATAACAGATTACGGGGCGTCGAGTGGCGCAGTGGGTTGAGCAGGCAGCCCATGTGCAGAGGCTAAGGTCCTCGCTGCAGTTGGCCCCAGTTCGAATCCCGCATCGGACAGCCCTTTACTGCATGTCATTCCC